AAAAAAAAAAAAAAAAAAAAAAAAAAAAAAAAAAAATCGGTAACATGCATTCTTGAACATCCTCAAAGCCGTTTCAGGCAACAAAAAAGCGCGCAACCTAGTAAAAGCTTTCCTCTGTCAATAAATGGCCGCTCACTAAATGACCAAAATGCGTCCCACTATATAAATAACCTTTCCGCCGGATTCCAACCAAAGCTTTGAAGAACGGGAGAGGAGTTTTCTCGAATGGCGAACAAAGTGGCCAATTAAGTTTTTCCCTGGCGGATACATTCGCAAACCCATCACCATGGATGTAAACATCTGACCCATCTTGATCTGCTGTCAAAATTCCCAAGAAATGACATGCTTTTTTATATGACGAGTAAGTCTCGAAGAAGAGACAACCAGAGAAAAGCTCCAACTGAGTGGTCAGGAGCGGACTAGGAGACCATGGCTTGTTGGTTCTTGCGGGGTCATAGAAATTGAGCAGAGAACTGGAGATCCATGGCTTCTTGATTCCAGTGACATTAAAAAAGTCGAGGTCGCTGAATTTCTCCATGGATTTCGAGATCTTTGGGGAGTACATGTGCAGAGAGACATGTGTTGATGACCAAAGCTCTGGAAGTAGGCGATTAGCTTCAAATGGGCTAATTATCAGTAGACATCCAGTCGAAGTGCTCGAAAGAACCCATCTCACGGGCCGCGTGAAGTCGTCCCATTTTGCTTGGACGAGGTTTTCTACCGTTCGGGCAAAGTCCGTAGTAACGAGTAAGTCCTGCGAGATGGACACAGCAGGAAGCTGGGGATAGGCAGAGGTTTGACTCAAGCTATTGAAAGCCGGAAAGCATGAGGACCTTTCTTTGCCTCCTGTCCTGAAGACTCCGTTTCGTACAAAATAATGTACTTCGGGATGTAGCTCGTGGCGCAAAGCCTTGGAAGGAGGTGGCTTCTGGTTCTCTCGCTCTTGCTCCACTTCGTGAGCTATTTCCCTTTCCTGTTCTTCCCGTAGCGCCCAATCTTCATGCTTTGATTCTTTGAAAATTTCCCACTCGGATAGTAGGCTCTGAACTGTCTGGTCTTGTCTTGCTTTGTCGTCGGTAAGGCATGGCCGAAAGACGGACTCTTGGGCTTCTACCCCATACATATCCACAAGGAGCTTCGCCTCCGACTCCTCTAAGTTCGAGCAGAACGCTGATCTTTGGCTGTAGTCACCAAGGTTTTCATGTTGGTCAGCAAGATACTGTGAGCAAAGCCGTTTGCGACGAGCGTGCTCAAGGCCTTGCATGATCCAAAGCGGCTTCAGCCCATCTGTAGCATGGCATGTCTGTACAAAAGACCACTGTACCACGTCTACTGAGGTCAAGGTATCGTGCTGGGTTTTCCCGGTTACTCGAAGTATATCTTGATGCACTTCGGGTGGCGCTAAGAACAGCAGTGATTGATGACAACCTAACTTTCTCATTCGCATACATGCTTGAAACTGTCAGTTTATGAACTTAGAATCAAATCCTTGCGGAGTAGCTTACCTTGAGCCAATCGATCCTTTGTCGTTCCTGGTCCGAGTGTGACCGCAGCGCGGGCAGAGGTAGGCATACTTAGATCTATACCTCGAGTATGGACTTCGTCAAGATAAATCAGACAAGAGTCGAGGTGCTGATGGAACGGAGATGATGAAAGCCGCTCCGTATATCCTTCTCGGTCCACAACCATAAGCTCATCCGCATTGTCGAAATACACCGCCGCCCGAGCTTGTGGGGAGCGACTTAACCATTCCACTGCTACCTCACTATTCAGTGAATCAAGAACTTGCGCTCCTACGTCGATGAGGACTTGAACAGAACTTTTTTGTCTGCTAATAAGTTCAAGAAGGCCTTTCACCTCCAGCTTCTTGCCTTCGCTGTCTACCGCTTCTATGTAGCGGCGATTTTCGTGCTGCAAAAGAAGGTTGGCTACCATGGCATTGGTGTGGCTCAGGGCCTCAAGGTCGTGTTGGCGTATTGACATCGGGAAGAGGAACTTGTTATCATTCGTCCCACTGAATCCGGTTGTTATGTTGCCAAAGCCCTGGCTTGGGAGATCCCAGGCTGAACTGGACAACTTCCGGGGAAACTCCGTACCTTCTCGTGGAAAAACCACTGTAGATAAGTAAAAATCTATTGCCGACTTGGAATACTTCATGTGAAAGAAAATGTGTTTCCTTGTATCGCTGTCCTCAAGGTTGACGCCATTGATGCTGCGGATGTGAAGCTCAGGGCAATCCTGGACCCACTTCGCGTATTCAGTGGACGGATCTGACTCCTTCATAAGAAGTGAGAAAACACAATCCAGTTGCTGTGGCGTGAGACCGCCGTAGTAGTAACTCAAACATGTAAGCACAATAGCGACATCGGGGTGGCCAAATTCAGCACTGAGAGAAGGGACGCCCTTGGCTCGATATGGAACCGCCATCATGCATCTGGAAGGGTCCAACCCATAATTTACCAGCCACCGTTTCCGCTGGAATGCAAAAAGCAATGTTTCATGAGCTATGAGCCCTCTCAGGAGATGAAGCTTTGACCAGAGTTCTGTGTCCCGGAATTCCTTGTCTACTCCAGCGAAGATTTCTGGTGGTATCGAACGGCTTTTAATGAATTCCAGAATGTTTCGGCGGCCTTCCCTACTACAGTGACTTAGAGAAACGCCTAATAAGTTCCCACGGCCAATTTCCTGGACTAGCATGTCTATCAAGGTGTTTCCGATGCTGGGATCCAAGAAAGCAATCGATGGAAATGAGCGGCCTCTGAATTCTATTTCAAGGTCATCACCTCCTTTGGAGTGATGAAGCTGTGCTTGAAGAGAGAATAGTGAGAGTACTTTTTGAACAAGGGTCCATCTATCAGGCTGACCGTCCATCAGAGCTTGGGTTCCGATTGAATATACGAGTTGAAACCGGGGGTCTAAAATCTCATCACTTTCGTCCAGAACATCCCTAGAGTGTTTCTCCAACCATGTGTCGAGTTGAATCGTAGGTATTCCCAGATCTGGCTGCGTAAGAAGCCTTTCGCGGCCCATCAGACGAAAAGACATCATATGCTCCGGTAAGGCTATTAGGATGCCTCTTTCTTGGATGCATTGCTCATAAATCCTTTGGAGCACTGTGATTTGGCTTTTATCAACTCGCGTCTCCCTGGAAAAGGGAATGTGATAGATTCGCCGATCAAGAAGACCACCTAGTCGCTGTGATAGTAAGTTTTCGGTCTGTCTCAGAAGGGGTTTGAGAACTATGAGGCGAGCCAATTGGACTTGGTCTGCAAGGGCAGTGACCACCATGGGTACTATCACTGAGGATTTTCCCTCACCCATGTTTAGTTGCAGCACCGAGTTGCTCGCGCTGTCTGGCCGTATCATCTGGCGCGCAACGATAACTTGCGTGTCCCTGATGGTTAAATTGTTTTCCAACTCCAGAAGTAGCCAGTCTGGAAATTCCTGTGGACTCCACGACAAGTGGCCTGGGTCTTCTGCATCTTTTGAAAATGCAACAACGTCGTCGCTATAATAGAATCGGAGAAGCCGCATTGATCTTTGAAGCATAGAAATAGCTTGTCCCAACAAAAGCAAAGTATGCTTCCAGTTCTCTGGTACCATGGATATTCTTTTAGCAGAAAGGCACGAAAGTAGGGACGCAGTGACGGTCCGTGGCCATAATCCGGCATGTGCAAGTACTCCTTCCACGGCTGTTTCAGGCACGAGCGCTTTTGTAACAGCTGACAATGCTGCCTGTGTATAGGACAAGATACTCGCCTTACAATCAAGGAGCTGCTGGGAAGTTACTGTAAAGCTTTCAGGCATTTCGGCGATATCCGTTTTGTCGAAAATATCAAGGCTCAAAGATAAATCATGAGCATAGTTCTGGCGTGTGGCGTCATTGCAAGAACGCATGTCATCCAGCATTTTTCGGAGCTCGTTCCCAGTCTGTAAAGTCTTACCAGACCTACAAGCCCTTGTTACCTGCAAAGGAACAGGCAGATTGGGGAGTTTTGGAGGGTTCCTCTCTCGGAGAAGGTCGTTTAAGCTTGGCGCAATCTTTACAATTCGTTGGCCGCAATCCAGTACGGTATGGTTGAGGGAGGTCCGCTGCGGTGTATCAATGTGGTCTAACCGAACCTTTTCTAGAAATGACTGTACCTTCTCGACGTACAGAATAAACTTCCGGTTCTTGTTCCAGACAGTATATAGTTCTGCACATGCAGTAGTCGCTCGGTATGTGTCGACAATGTCTATTCCTGAAAGGGAATAAATGCTGGGGCTATCACAGGGCCACTGTGATAGTACATGGTCCAGGACTTTTTTGATCTGTTTGCATTTTTCGGTCCGATGAGAACTGAGCCTTTTCATCCAATCATCGTAATCTTCATTCGACCTTCGTGGGCAGTCCTGGCAACAGCTATCGATCGCGTCCCAGATTGTAGAGCGACTGGGGCCCTCCCCAGCACTAAGGTCGTACGAGCTCTCATCAGGAAAGTCGTTCTTCAAACATTGAGATGAAGCCATTCCCAAGAGCGTGTGAACAAGTTGAACAGAATCCGGCTGTGCGTACACTATCATGCAAAACAGAAACATCAACTTGTATAAGTCTTTTTCGTAGTTGCAATCATGACAGAGTTGATGCAAAGATCCCCAGTTTTGGCCGAGATGGAGCTGCAACAAATCATTGCATGGTGTTCCCCACGGGTCACACTTGTGGCCATAATCTTGGACTTTTTTCCATTTCCGTACTTTTTCCACGAGATCCGGTACAACGTCAATGCGATTGGGCCATATTCTGGTTAAGGAAGCCGTTTCGTACACTATACGAGCCCGTGTGCTTCCGGCATCAGCATCTCTGGCATTGTATATCATATCGCGCTTTTGCCTTGTATATGTAACGGGGCCTCGGACGCTGGCATTGCGATTCGTAGCTTTTGCTAAAAGATGTTCATTGCCACGGCTCTTGAAGTCTCGAGACGTATTAGGTGCCCCGTAGAATGCAGCAAATTGTGAGGCGTGTTGCATAATGTCTTTTGCCAAGGTATTAAACCTCTCATGCTGGGCCAGTTGGGAAAGATGAGAGTTCCATTTGACAGTTTGCATGCTCTCCAGGTGCTCCGGATAGTATTCGCGAGCGGGAGTCAATGCAGCGATGCGATTCAGAAGATATAAGGTCTCTCCAGTTACTGGTGATGAAACCCGTAAAGACTGCTCTGAGAGAATCCTGAGAGCTTCTTCTGTCCCTGTTTGTTTCGTCAATTGATCGGGCAAGACGGTGCTAGTCACAGCATGAAGATACGCCAGGTAAAGCTTTTCGTCCCTTCCTGTACGTGTCCTTAACCGCGATAGGGTCTCGTCTAGGCGGTAATGCATGAGTCGGAGCTTTTTTTCTTCATTCGTATGAATCTCGACGTAGCTTGTGTCGCTGCACCCTTCCATATGTACTCGGCCGTACGGAATGATGACACTCTTGTCCGGTAAACTCCCATGCTGGCAAGTGCTTTGGAGAACTAGCTTGCTTCGTAATTTGAACAGACAACCGATGTCCTGACTTCGGTCAACAACTGCACCAAGCTCTTTTGACTCCAAGCAACCATCTGGGTTGATGAAGAATTTCAGGCGAAAACGTGGAATTTCAGCTTCTACCTTGTTCTGTTCGACTGTGACCACGATACGTGATGGAGGTTCCAGTGCCTCCAGCACTTTGATAATTGAATTCCCTATTTGGCTTCGTTGGTCGATAAGCTGCTTGCGTCCAATGTGCATGCATGACGCTCCGTCTGAAACAAAACGGAGGGTTAAACCAGGAGTGGCTTCCCATGGGCTGTGCAGAGGGCAAAAGAGAATAGTTCCGGTGTCCAGATCCATCCAGTGGATATAGTCTTCAGTTAAGCTTTTCGGCAAATCTCTATCCAAGACATCATGAGGTACATGGCGGAGCCGTTGAGTGCCAGTGATTGCTTGAAGCAGAAGTTCATTCCCTCTCATACCAAGATGTATCTGTGTTAGCTTTGTTAGGCGGATAACTCGGTAAAGTAGAAGGCTACATACCTCATAGTTCCCGATCTTGCTTAGCGTTTTATATTGCATGCAAGGAAAACATGATCTCGTCACATTGAGGATGCGCTGTGCCATTAGCAAACAATGAAAGTAAAGATGGTGTTTTCACTTACAGAGCCAAAAACTCTACTATAAACAGGCGCATTCGTGAATTCTGATGGCAGTCGTCCAATGCGGGAACCATCGAGAAGAACCTCTCCTGTCAACAGATCGTAGTTGACAACCTGAGGTGGAGTTCGTTCCCCAGTCTTTACTTCGCAGGCAATCCATCCTTTGTGGTCCTCCATAACCTGCCAGTTCCTCACAAAACCAGCCAGGTCGCATGCTCGTTGGACGCCTTCATTGATGCCAGTGCTGGAGCGTGCAGCAAGAAATTGCAGGTGTTCTTCGATGATGCAGGCAATCTTACTTCCAACCACCAATGAATGTTGTGTGTCTAACGGAAGGTCGCTAAGTATAATTGGGGTGTTGTCGAAGAGGTGAATCGATGACTGAACGAAATCTGCAACATCATCGTCATGTTCAAGAACCAGGTGAACCTGAGATGCCTCGCAATTGAACGTCATGCGGCAAGCTAAGGCAGAGATGAGAATCGTTTGCCTTAGTCTTTGGCTCTCTTGATCCGAGGAACATTCCGGGAGTCTGCTCGAAATTTTCGAACACCATATTAGAGATGTATGCCGTACTTGCCTTAGCAACTGTACAACACGAATTGTGATTTCGCTATCCGGTGCAAGCGAAAGAATTCTAAGCCCCAACATAGTTATGGTAGCAAGCCGCGCCTGTTCATTCCAATTGCTTTTGATGCTGCCAAGCTGTTTCTCCAGGAGGTCCAAGAGGACTTGGTTGAACTTCGGGTGGTTCAAAGGTGCATGTGCTTCTCTAAGCACATCATCCCCTAACCGTGTATTGGCTTGTAAAGCTGCTTGTCGGAAGAGTATATAAACTTCTTCCGTGTTGATTGTAAGGTCAGCAGACCCAAGCTCCCGAAGTATGTTCAGCCATTGTATTCGCTCTCCTGCTCGTACGGATCCAAAAGCCACGAACTCATGAGAACTTAGCTTTGAATCGCACTGGTCTTGTCTCGCCATTATGTCGTTATGGTCGAATGAGCTCTCATCAACGAAATCCTGCAGGCTTGAGTAGGGTCCCACTGGCAACGGCGAAAAACAATGACGGGAAAAAGATGGTAGGTCATGTTGATTCCTGGTCCAGCATAGTTTTTCATTATCGAGAAGGTGCCACTGAAAGGCGTTGTTGACGCATACCTCCCTTAGTTCCACTGGGAAATGCTTCATGTTATAATGCGACCTGAGGAAGGACTTTACTGTTGACCCAAAGGAGACTCTTTGGTCACAGCTCACTGCGTACCGAGATAGGCGGTTGTAATTTAGAAGCTTCTGGCAATGTTGGACATTCTCCTCGCTTATCTGTTCACATCTAAGGCGTCCCAAATCTTGTACGATCATCCAGGTGAGGTCACGCCATGCTGAAAACCCGGGTGGACAAGCCAGCTCAAAAATAGCGGCTTTTAGGTCTGTAAGATTCGTTGGTAGCGGCCATTCATCGACGTAGATGTGGAGGCGCCTTGCGTGGCCTTCGCAATAGCATTTGCGACAATTGGAAGCACAGTAAAAATAATTGTCGGTGGACTTCAAGTGACTCAGAGACGATGCCTCTCTCTCAAGAGAAGCATATTCGTCAGACGTCCTCCTCCATTCTAGTTCCTTTAGCTCCCTTGTTGTTGCCGCTTCGCGTTCAATGTCGTATTTCAATGATTTGTGCTTCTCAGATTGATTGAAGAAGCGAACTGCGAATGAATCTGAGACAATGCTATTCAAAATCTTTGCATGTCCCATATTTGCTTCCTTGTGGCGCTTCAGAAGATGGTTTTCAATCCGTTGTAAACTTTGAAGTTGGCAATGATGTGGAAGCAGAAGTGGCTCTCCTATCTGAGACGGGATGTCAGGGGGGTAATCTCGTAACAGCGGATAAAGCTCTAAACAAATGAGGTCTAGGACGGTCCAGATTTCCAAGATTACCAGAAGCATGATGGACAATGCCCGGGAATTTCCTTTGTATTGGCCCAAAGCGATATCCATGTAGGTATGAGAGACTTCTCGTAAAGAAACACAATCTTTTTCGTTTCTCTTGCTCTTTTCCAACCAAGCCCGGAGTTTTTCCAAGATCCATTGTTCGAATTCTGTCAAACTGTAGATTTGTTGAAAATCGCCCATGAATAATTCCAAATTGGGTAGTCCATTCTCAGTGAAGTCCAGGTTATCCCTATTTGAAAGGGTGTTTTGCCGTGTTGTTGAGTGTTCCTCGGTCTCTGTCAACGCTTTTCGAAGATATTCGCCACTAGCGGCTAGTGTGAGGTTGCAGTCTGATTTTGCAGCGTTGTTGCTCAATTTTGGAATGGTAGTTGTATCCAACCTCCGCCGTTCTTCCCACCAAATGTCAAGGTAATTCCGGGCATTTTGTACTGCAGTTTGTACTGCCACCTGGACGTGGTTTATAGCTTCCTTCCCGAGCTTTGAAAGGCGACAGGCCGTTTTAGTAGTCACAATCATCTGGATGTCTGTGGCAACCTGACGCTGTAGAGCCAACTGGCAGACGTTTGCCATGAATAGAGCCATGAGATTTTTGTATTGAAGTCGACTTGTATCTCCGGGGAGTTGATGCTTAAGCAGCAGTTGAATCGAGACGCGAATAACCAGCCATAATGGCGATCGCCTCCACGGGAGCCTACAATTGTTCCAGTTGACATCGTCGCGGATAAACTTGCGAATACTCGGACTCTTGCAAGGAGCACCCAAAGACTCGAGCATGGACATTAGTCCTTCAGTCACAAGTCCCGGGTGTACGGTGTCCCGCTCTTCCTTATGGTACTGGCCGGCTTTCCTTGAGGTAGGCATGCTAAGGTTCACGCCCTCGCGGCACATTTTCCATGCCATAGTTACGAGGTCTTGTACGAATCGTCCATTTTGGAGCAAATTGCTATCGACAGCAACGCTTCTTCCTGGGAAATCCCAAATCAACCGCTCATTGGTCTTCATAACAGACTCGCATCGAGCAGACGCTTCGAATGCATGGACAAAAACGTGGTCCTCATCGGGTCGAAAGATAAGAAGCCCAGCATTCTGTGCCTTAACATGGAAAGAAACAGCATCTAGACAGTTATTAGAATTCTCATATCGCAACGTATGTATGGGGTCTCACCAGAGATTTGCAAGTTCAGTAGCACCTGCGTTAATCTGTCTTCCCATCCGGCGTTATTCTGAGACAGATTCTCCATGTTCCGCAATAAGCGTAACACCGGGTCCCATACTTCTTTGGTGTCTTCTTCAAGATGATGCACGAGGGTCTCGGCCGATTTGCGGACCATCTGGAGTAATAGAAACTCTCCCTCTTGTCTATCATCTTCATCATCCTCCTCTTGAGGCAGCTTGGGTGGCAGAACAACGTGGTTGATCAGGAAATCGAGCCCCTTAGAACTAGGTGCCATATTGCCTTTTGGAATAAGACAACTTGTACCTGTGTGAATGTGACTGAGTAAAGAGAAACTCGAATGGAATGGCTTCGACAGTAAATGTCTCATTATATATAAAGATTTCAGGAAAAACTGATGAGAGCACTGTACCATAGAACTCTAAATTCTCGGACATGATTTTAATGGGAACTTAGGTTTCCGCACTGAAGTTAATATTATTATTGTATTTACCTCTATCTATGCTATATAGCTGCCTCCCGGGGGGCTTATAGAGGGGTGGAGTAGCCACCGTTCCGCGTGACAAAAGAAAGATCCTCCGCGTCCCACCTATATACAAAAAAGAGTTCGTGTGCGTGTGAGTTGGACGGCCCTTACCGTCCCAACTAAGGTGCTACGGCCTCGCCGTGATTACCCTATCTTTCTAGGCTTGCTTCGCTTCTTCGTCCCTTCTGGTACACCCCTGTTGTCTCCACCAGGTCCCGGAAGAGGAACCAACCCTTTGGGCCGAGAAGGCTCTTAATCCGGGACGTCGTAGTTGTAGTCGTTGGGTATATCTACCGAGAGGTATATCGATAGTTAATGAAGTGCTATTTCTCCTTTCGCTCTCTATACCCGTAGGCAAGAGCCGCGTCTTTATGGCGGAAGCGTTTATGGTACGTGGTAAAGTCCCCGTGTCCTGAACGCTCCGCTAGGAGCCTGTGTAGTGTACGCCTTGATAAGGCGAGCTCCGGGTTCTTCTTTCCTACCTGGAGGCGAAGTCGTTAGTATGTAGCTGGCTGCTTTATCTCCTACTACTTATCGAAGAGTCTATTTCTCTCTGCCTAGTTTATTCGCCTGGCCTACGTAACTGTTGGCGTCTCGAATAGAGGTTCTGTAGTAGTAGCCGCCTTAGCGAGCTCGTCCGCCGCTTTATTCCCTTCAATCCCAACGTGTCCTGGGCACTAGCGTACCTCAACTGTGGCTGGGAGGCTGGCGCGGAGGGCCTTAAAGCGCTCGAATTAGGCTTGTGAGCTGTATAGTATGTTCCCCTTAATGCCTTTAATTACTGAGGTATTGTCGATGTAGCTAGCGATAGTAGGAGCCTAGAGGCCGTACTCTGCGGCCTACTAGAGTCCCTCTACCGCTCCTCTAATCTTGGTGTCGAATACTTTAGCCTATCCTATCCGTCTAGATGCCTCGTAAACCCTTACGCCTCCCTAATAGGCGACGAAGGCCTAAGCTGTACTAGACTATATAGACGAGCCGTTAGAGTAGATATAGAGCGTGTTAGGTCTATCCCGCTATAGCTAGTAGGCGAATCTCTTCTACCCCTACTCTTTTCCCCGGAGCGTGTAATCTGGCCTCTAGTAAGTATAGGCGAGGAGTAGTAGCCTCTCGTACTCCGGCGTAATATATACTAGCCGCCGTAGCCGAGTGGCTTTCGTTCTAGCCTCTAGGTTAAGGGATGGGCGTCCTATCCTTCTTCCGGTCTCCGGATATAGGCGCGTAATAAGGGGGTATACTAGATCTAGTAAGCGTAAGCGGAGTAAGGCCCGCTTCCTAATTTGCTAGAGTAGAACCGCCGCCGGTAGGATCCTAGTCTCCCTATATAGGATAGGGATTAGCGTAGTACGCTAGATAGGAAGTACTATCCTTGCCGCGGCGCGGAGCGTCCGGTTAAGGAGTTGTATAAGCCTACCCTATTTAGACTCTACCGTTAGTACCGAGCTATTATATAAGGGCTTGTAAGAGCCTTTATACTATACTTCCGCGCCGTAGGCGACTACTAGGATAATATAGGCCTTTACCGCCTTAACGGCTACTACCGGGGGCATGCCTTTTACTACTCGGTTGAGGTTCCTAAGGTGGGCCGCTACCTTATATCCTCTTGCGCTCTATACCTTAACGTAGTGCCGAAAGGAAAGCTTAGTGTTAAAGTATACTCCTAGCTAATGTACTGGTGCCGTGGCCGGCTAGATCGTAAGGTTTAGGAGACTAATAGAGGGGTACGTAGCTCCTCTCTACCTAGTAAAGTATAGTAGTTTAAACTTATCCGGCGCGAAGGCGATTGCGTTCTCTTCCCCCTACTATAGCGCGTCCCGAAGGTCTTCCCGGAGGGCCGTAGTAGTGGTTTAAAGTAATATACCCGTGTAGAGGAAATTTATATTATCCGTATACGCGAACCTTACCGCTCTATTCCGCCTCTAGAGGAGGGGGGCGAGGTAGAGTATATAGAGAATTAGTAATATAGGGGACCCTTACGGGATACCGTACTAAAGGTCCTTCTTACTAGTCGTGGCTATCTTAAGTCGAACTCTAGCCCGCTTTCCTATGGTAAACTTATACGCCTACCGGACTAGCTGGTCTAGCTAGCCTTATTGCCTTAGGCGGAGCGCGAGCCGGTTAGGAAGCACCGTATCGAAGGCGCCCTAAACGTCTATTATTAGTATCGAAGCCGCCTTGTTTTTCCGGAACGTAAGTTTAATATCGTGTATAGTATAGGCTGTAAGATCTAGAGCCGACCTTCGCTATAGGGCTCCGAAGTATTACGGGTTAAGGAGCTAGCGTTAGATAGCGAGAATTCCTATCCGGTGCGCTACTAGCCGCTCTAATCCCTTACCTAGGTAAGAGAGTAGGGTAATCGGTCTATAGGCCCTTACGCTAGTTAGGTCCTTTCTAGCCTTTAGGATGATAGATACTTCCGCGGTCCGGAAAACCCGGGGGTGATAACTAACCTAGAGGTAGCCCTAGTAGAGCCTAACTACGTGCGGTCTAATCTCCCCCTATGCTAACTAGAGGAGACGTACTATGATGCCGTCGACTCCGGGGGTTGTATTCCCTATGTAGATGTAGTAAGTTTCTGCTTCGGCTAGAGTGACGCTGTTTTCCTACGGGATGGGAGCGGGTTCCTAGTCGAGAGGCTTCTAAGGGTCGTCGATATCCTAGTCTATATTAAACCGGTAGAGAATCTTATCTCGTAGTAGGTTCGCCTTCTCGCTAGGGTCCGTAACTGCGTGGTCGCTATTAAGGATAGGTAGCGTCTTAAAATAGTCTATAGCTTTATACTAAGCTGTAATCCGGAAGAGGTCGACGTCCTCCTTAGCCTAGGCGATTTAGTTTTCCTAGAACTACTTCTTAGTCTTCCTGACTATATCTTGTAGGTGCTCCCTTGCGGCCTTCTAGTCTGGGTTAGTATCTCCTCCTAGCTGCCTATACTATAGTGCTGCCTCCCTATAGTTATCGTTCTACTACTTCGTAGCTTATCCTTGTACGTATATCCTAGTGCCGACTATTTCTATAGCTATCTAGAGGTACCTAATAATTACTAATACGAGCTCCTTAAGTTCGAGGGCTGTAGTACCTCCCTCCGGGAGGAGAGGAATCGCGCGCCGGACGGCCTATCTAAACTCCCCTAGCTAGTCCTCGTGTACTACTAGGCGCGGGGTACGTAGTTGTTTAGGTGTACCGGCCGGTACCTTAGTTAGTAGCGTAAAGTAATCCGAACCCGTATAGAGCTCGTCTAGTACCTACGTATGTACCCCTAGTATATTAGTAATAACTAGGTCTAGGGTGTTGCCCTAGACGTATGTAGGAGTAATAGGGTTTGTAGTGCTAAGACCCTCGTTCTCTATCTAGTTAGCTACCCGGCGTCCTAGGCCGGAGTAGGGACTATATCCTAGCTACTACGTCTAGTGGACGGTATTAAAGTCCCCTGCGAGGATAGTGTTTAGAGGTATCGTCTATACTTCTAGGGTAGCTAAGGTATTTTCTTCCCTCGGCGCCCTATAAACGTTAGCGATTATAACCTTATTGACGACTACTACGTAGACGTGTGGAGTAGAGAAAGGTCGTATCTAGTAGGCGGAGACGCGTAGTATCTTCCGGACGTAGGTTAGAACCCGTAGCTTCTTAATCTAGTTATCCTATAGAGCGAAGATGTCGAAGCCCAGGTACGTCTTCGTAAGACGTCTTCCGTCCTTTACTATTACCTACGGTTCCTATACTAGGAGGACGTCGGCGAGGGCCTCCTACGCTAGGTTAAGAGCGGTGTTATGCGTAGGGCTACTAAGCGCTATATTAACTTATACTACGCGGAGAAGAGGGGTAGCCTAAGGCTAAGTATCGCGGTATATCCGTTGCGGTTATACTTCTATTAAGAACGTATAGTGGGGGTCGGTATCGCTAGGGTAGAGGCCTAGGTAGTAGCTTCCGCTCTCTTAAGAGCTTCCGTGAACTATGCCCCCCGTTAGGTAACGACTACTAGTAATCCTAGTTTCGGTGCCTGCGTTGTCTTATAGGCTTCTAAGCCTTAGCGGCGGATAGCCTAGAGCTATCGTACCGTCTTCCTTACTACCTGTCTATGCTCTTTACCCGGCCGGGCTAGGTAGCTTAGGTCGTTGGCTTCGTGAGGTCTAGAGTAGTTTATATACTAAGCTGCCCTACTATATAGAGCCGTATAGCCTGTTTAGGTATAGTATCCGTAGCGCTCTAGCCTCGTATAGGCCCTCGGATTGTAGTATCCGTAGTATCTTCTATACTAGGTGATCTGCGTCTTGCGACTGATTGATTGATTGATTGATTGATTCGTTTTACGTCTATATGTAGTTGGAAACTATGACGGACGGTCCGTTTAGGACAGGCTAGGGGGTTTAAATA